CCACTCTGGCTGTGTCTCCGCGTCTGAGACTCACAGGGCCGGGGGCTGTCCCAGGAAGGGGGCTCAGGGTGTTTATGGCCCTGGGTTCTGGAAGCAGGAGGTCAGGTGGTGAGGGGGGACTGGGGTGAAGGGAGGGGCTGCTGTGTCAGTGTCCTGGGTGGAGGAGCAGAAGGGCTGGTGGCCAGGGGTGAGTGGTGGGGAGGGGGTCTGATGTGAGGTGAAGGAGGGTCTCCTGAGGACCTGACCCAGGCCCCCCTGGCCCTGGCCCATCTGTGAGGGCCTGGCCTCCACACTTGTGTTTTTCAGACTGTGTTCCTCTGAGCGGCCCCAGCAAGGTGACGGGCACCGTGGGAGGATCCCTGCATGGCACAAGCAAGGTGACGGGCACCGTGGGAGGATCCCTGATCGTGCAGTGTCAGTATGGCAAAGAATTCAAGGACAATGACAAACTGTGGTGCAAAAAATCAGTTTTCTATTGTAAAGATATTGTGAAGACCAGAGGCTCAGGGGGAAAGGTGCGGAGCGGCCGAGTGTCCATCAGGGACCACCCTGCAAAGCTCAGCTTCACAGTGACCATGGAGCGCCTCACCCTGGAGGACGCAGGCTCCTATGAGTGCTGGGTGGACACACCATGGCTCAGCATCCTTGACCTGTCCTTCAAGGTTGAGGTGGCCGTGCAGCCAGGTGAGCCCCTCCCACCAGCGCCTGGGTTCCCTCAATAGACCTGGCCTTTCCCTCCCTAGAAAGGCAAGGGGGAGGAGAGCGTGCTCTGGGTGATTCCAGGGTTCAGAACAGGGTGTCTGTGCGCACAGGCCTTTGTGAAAGCAGGCTTCTGGTGTGTGTGTGTGTGTGTGTGTGTGTGTGTGTGTGTGTGTGTGTGTATCCGGGCATGCAGACACCTGGTGTGCACACACAGCACACCTATGTAGTTCCAGTGTTTCCCTGGGCCCCACTCTAACAGTCCAGGTCTGGAACCTTCCAGGAGTGGGAGGAGTGGGGTGGGACTGGCTGTTGGGTCCCTGGCTTTTTGTTGACTTCCTGACCAGGTGAGGGTCATGTCCTCTCCAAAGGAGACCCGTGTCTCACCTGGGCCTGTCTCCACCCTCCCTCTGGGACGGGACCCTCACAGCATTTGCTTTTCCTATAGAAGGGCATCTTCACTTGGGTCACCTGCCCCCTCTCCGCTGTGGATGGTCTCTGGGAAACTAGCTCCTCCATGATGGTCCTGGGGTCCTTCTAAAAAGGACCCATACCACTGTGCAGGCTTCCTGACTCCTAAGGGGACTCTGCTCCTAGTGGACCTGGTGGTCCTGGGTCACAGCATCCCTTGTGGNTGACCCTGGATTTTAACTTGCAGCCGTTGCCCTTTCCTGCAGCCCTTCTCCTAATTGACTCCTGGTTTATMTTTAAGGTTTCCCCTTGTTGTTTGATCTGTTCTTGGCTTGGCAGACATCTCAACCCATTCAAAATGTATGAGTCAGAGAAATGTCCCCCACAGAGCCCAGTCTCAGGACTGACCACCTTTGAAAGTTTAAAACTTACTATTTCCACATTTTTTTATGCGTGTAATATAGAAAAAACCCAGAAATGGAATCATATAAACTCCATTCACCAACTTAAAAAGGACCATAATAATAACAACGTATCTTGGACATCTTTCCCATCACTGTCTGGAGGTCTGTCTTTCCCTTTTCACCAAGTGATGCATGGCCCACCGTCTGTTGGTGCAGTCCCTGTGGGTGGCAGGTGAGTTTCCCACGGTCACTCTCACCTGGCCAATGCGGCTAACATCCTTCTCTCCATCATTCTTTGTCGTGGAAACTCCCGCGAGTGCTGGAATTGAGAGGACTGTGTCTGTGATGAGATTGAGCTTTCTTGGCACCTGAGACCCTGAGACTGGGGATGGGGAAGGGAGAAAAAGAGAACATGGAACCTCTGTTCTCTGGGAGTGAGCGGCCTGGCAGGGAAGGCAGGAAGAGAACAGCCAAAATGAGATAGCAACGCAGCATTGGGGCTCCGGATGGAGGGTCAGGGGAGCAGCGGGAGGAGAAGTGGAATCCAGCTTCCCAAAGACTCAGCGCCAAACAGAAGCAGTGGGTGTGGCTACAGGAGAGGTCTAGGAAGACTCCTGAGCTCGGAGCAAGTGCAGCTCAGTGCGTAACTCTGGCAGCCACATGGAGAGGAGAGAGGAGGTCGGTACTCTGGACTTCTCTGGGTGCTGCTGCCATGATCCAAGCACCAAACCAGGTTCTGACCTGTTGAGCAGGTCACTGACAGAACAAGCCCCATCTGCCTGGTGTTGAATGCACACCCAGTCTCCTCCCAGCCTGYGTAAGGCAGAGAGAAGCACGGCCACTTTGCAAACAAGGAAGCAAGCCTCAGAGAGGTGAAGTAACTGACCCAGGGTTTCCCAACCACCTGTGGGAGATAGATCTTCTGTGTCCAAAGTTTACTGTGACGGCAAGAGGCTGCAGGATGGGGGTCATTCTGAGGAGCATTTCCACCGCAGGGGGCAGGGTTCACGGAGTGACAGCCAGTCGCTTCTGGGGAGCGAAGGAGAGGACGGAATCAGTGACCATGCCAAGTCCTCCAGTCGGCTCCATAACAGGGTGGATGGTGGAAAATCACAAAGTCGGTTCTGCTGATGGAAAGTGCACCAGTCATCTGATTCGCCCCTGAATGACTGCAGTCACCAATGATCACAGACTCAGAGGCTTAGCACAACACAGGTCCGTGGGCTCTCTGTTCTGAAGCTCCGGAGTCTGGAATGGTCCCACCAGCTAAACTCCAGTTTGTGTCCCTCCGGAGGTCCTGGGGAGACCTGTTCCCTGCCTTCTCCAGAAGCCGTCTGCTCCCCTGGGCCACAGCCCCTCCGCCATCTTCAAATCCAGCCCTGAGCACCTTCCGCCCTGACTCTCTTCCAACACTCACTGTGGGGACCCACAGGATAATCCCTCATCTCAAGATCCTTCATCAAATGCAAAGTCCCTTTGCCCAAGTGAGGGGTCGGGGGTCACAGTGGGACCTCAGTTTCCCTTGGGTGGAGGGCGTTATTCTGCTGACCACAAGCACAAACCTCAAGTAAACAAAACGGGTTCAGGGGGAACCTAGAGGTACAGGGAGGCGGCACCTGCTGCTGCTACACACCTGCCTCGTCCTGTGGAGACCCCACACTGAGGCCAAGACACACCACGGAAGGCCTCTGCTGTGACTCTCTGCTCCTTCGTCCACTTCCTGTGCCCAGGGAACAAGTGGCCATCGGAAGGAAAGAGCCCTGTGAATTTAGGMAGCTGGAGGGAGTCGAACCAGACCCCCGCTCAGCGCAGACCCCCTCTAACCTCCAGCCTCTGTGGGGCCTTTGCTACTCTGTCCCCACTGAATCCCCACCGAGGACCTCAAAGAGTAGCTTCTGGTGAGAGAGGCGGCTTGTCAGCCTCTGAGACTGAACTGGGGTCCACATGTCCAGTGGGGATCTGTAAATGGGCTGGAGCTCGGGACAGAACTGGAGTGGCAAATAGGGGCTTGGGGACACCAGGATACGGGCAGTCACTGGAGCCACGGATGTGGGGAGAACCCCTCTGCGAGGCCACGTGAGTTGARGTGAGACGCAGCCTCCGGACGTGAGACTTGGGTGTCTCCAGTTCATATTGACACAGATGAGAGTTGATCTTGGGCATCTCCCCTCAGCTGTGACATCACAGCAGAGCCTGGCATCAGCCATGATGGGAACACTCACACTGCAGAAACTGGCAAGTGCTACAACCAGAGAGCTAGTTAGACATTCACCGACACGGCCCSGGTGACATGGAGACTTAGGGAGAGGGAGAGGAGAGGCTTGGCTTGGCACCCTAGAGACCCCCTAGAGAAGCCAAAGAAGATCAGAGGAGAACGGCCCTGAGAGGACCAGGTGGCCACAGAGGYTCAGGAGTGTCCCATGCTGCCTTAGGCCTAGGGAGATGAGGCTGGAGAGGCCGGGGGTCATCCCTGGGGGGTGACGAGAGGCTGGACCTTGGAGGAGGGGGGTGTGAGGAGGGGGGCCTGTTGGGATGGTGGGGGTGGCTCGGACCCTGGTCCAGGCCCTGGGCATCACCTGACTCGGGGCAGCAGGGGCCAGATCTTGGGATTCTGTTTTCCAGGATGTTTCTCCATCCAAGGTCCAAAGCATGTGCAAGGCCGAGAGCAGGGGTCACTGACCGTGCAGTGTCACTACAGCCCACAGTGGACGAATTATCAGAAGTGGTGGTGCCGCGGAAGGCACTGGCGCACGTGCCACATCCTCGTTCAGACCAGAGGCTCGGAGCAGGAAGAGAAGCAAGGCCGCGTGTCCATCGTGGACGATCAGAGAGACCACTCATTCACGGTGACCATGGAGAAGCTCCAGCGTGACGACATGGACACTTACTGGTGTGGGATCAAGAAAAGTGGAACTGACCTTGGGACACGAGTAAGAGTGACCGTTTACCCAGGTAAAGACTTTCTCGTCTGCACCAGGAGGCCTTGTGCTCAGGACGGGACGCCTGCTCCCCCTCCTCCCCCTCCTCCCCCTGCTCCCCCTCCTCCCCCTGCTCCCCCTCCTCCCCCTCCTCCCCCTCCTCCCCAAGGGCTGAAGGGAAACCCCAGAGAGCCTGGGACAGGCAGACAGGCAGAGCGGGAGGGCGAGACAAAGACGCCCCTTCCTCCTCCTCCTCCTGCCACCTGAGAAACGGCTGTCCCCATGTCTACCTGCAGTCAGCTGATCCTCAGCCCAGGGACCACTGGGTCTCCCTGGACRGCGATGGGTACGGTGCCAGCTTCCCAGCAGGCCCCGTGTTGTTAGGTTGGAATGAGTGACGGACACAGGGGCTGTGACGTGGGGTGCAGAGAGGGTAAGCAAGACGCCTAGAGCTACCACATAGGGGAACYAGAGAGGACCTGTGGGGACGGGAGGAGGGCCGAGTAAGAATGTGGGCGAGTCTGAGAGATCAAGAGTGTGCCCAGGGGGCAGCTTTAGGGAGAAGTCACTTAGGGGTCTGCAGGGGGGGCCCACGTCTGTGCAGTGACCAGGGGCACCAAGAGGACCACAAGTGCCAGAGCTCAGTCAGCGGCTGCCTAGCCTGACCCAGGCCTGGGACCTTCCAGAGGGGTCTGCCAGGCCGAGGACTACAATAAAGGGAACTGCGGGTCAGGGACACTCAGTGCCCAGCTGGCCTCAGGAACCCTCGAGCTGCCTTCGACGTCTCTCATACGAAGGTGCCGTTCCCCGCAGCAGTGCTCACGGTCTAGCTGGAATGTGCCCTCTTACTTCCCAGCCTGCAGGTCCCCCTCCCTCACCCCACTAATCATAGACACCCCATTTCTAGAACCTTCCATTTAAGTCCTGCTCAGGTACTAATTGAGTGGAAAGGACTGGGGATTGTTTTCCCCCCAACCAGCCGTAAGTGGAGAGAGAATGGAGCGATGCATCTCCCCCACCCAGAGGGAACTGTGGTGTTTTTTCCTGTGTAATTTTGGGGGGAGACACCATGTGTCCTCTAGTGAGGACATGCTACATCTTCCAAACCAGTAGGCTGGCCCACTGCCCACAGTCTGGGGAGGTCCTCTGGCTCCTCCCTGGAGGGCTTTCTCTGCCCGCCACCTGGGGCCGAGGATTGAACTCGGAGGCACTGGGCACAGCCCTATTTTACATTTTATGYAGAGACAGGGTCTCACTGAGTTGCTTAGCACCTGGCCTTTGCTGAGGCTGGCTTTGAACTCTCCATCCTCCTGCCTCAGCCTCCTGAGCCTCTGGGATTACAGGCGTGCGCCGCCAGCCCCGGCTCCTGTTTAATTTTGACTCCTTCCTGCCATTCCTGACAATGATGGGAAATGGCTGTGTTGGGAGGGAGGTGGTTCAACTGAAGGCCGAGGGCTGTATTCAGAGAGACCGGGAGGGGAGGTGTCCTGGTGAGGGCTGGCGGGGTGGGACCATGCCTGGTCTGTACCCGTAACCTGTGGTGGCTTTGCCTGTGTCTAGAGAGAACAGATGCTACATCTTCTGAACCAGTAGCCTGGCCCACTGCCCACAATCTGGAGATGTCCTCTGGCTCCCACAAGAGGTGAGTCCCTGGAGGCCTTTCTCTGCCCTCCACTGGGGCCCTTCCATGGAACTCTTGCCATGTCCTGTCACCAGATGCCAGTGGCCTGTTACAGCCAGAGCTGAGATCCCAAGCCCCTTGTCCCCGTTACTCCTCACCCACCATGTCCCCGTTCTGGCTCCCGCCAGAAAGCCGCTCTGCAGAACTGGCCTCTGTAAGCATCATGGTCCATGCAACTGGACAACGAGAGGTGGCACTGTGTGTGGTGAGGGGAGAGAAGGTGCCAGTCTCCACGCAGGGCACAAGACATCCTGGGACAGAGGAGGGAGAGTGACTTCCCTACCTGGAGCTGGCAGGAGGCAGAGCAGACTGGAGAACACAGACTGTAGGTGGTGACCTCCGGGTGTCCTACGGGGCCAAGGGGAGTTCCAGAAGGAAAAATGATAAAGAAAGGAAGGGCCCGTGTAAGACCAGCTGCGCTCACTGTCCGAGGAGCCCTTGTGGTGGGCCACAGCGAGGCTCTGGGTCTTCAGGGAGGGACTCAGGCCACAGCCTCGGGTTCCGCTCGGATGGCAACTGGCTCCCTGGTGTCTGGGGTGGGAAGCCATGGGGCTGGAGGGCCCGGGGTCTGATGCTGTCCCTCCCACAGGACCCACTACGTGCTCCTGGTGTTCCTGAAGGTGCCCATCTTACTCGTCCTGGTCAGTGTCATCCTCTGGCTGAAGGGGTCTCAGAGGACCCCCCAGGAACAATAGGAGCCGTCTGTCCTTAGGGATTTGAACTTTGAACTTCTGACCAGAGACCGGGCTCCGTAGGCAGGTGGGTGAGCCGCGCCTGCCCACCCAGACCCTGTTTCCAGAGAACCCAGGCTGAGCGGGAAGTCCCCCGGATCCTTGGGGTACAGTGGCTGAGCCCTGCCCTGCACAGCTCGGGGACGCAGCTCGGCCCGCCTGGGGCTCACAGGCTCCCGCGGGACCAGTACCTCACATCCACCTCACAAGGACAGAGGCCCACTCGCCCCGGGGCTGGCCCACGGTGGGGCTGCTGGGATGGAGGCCAACCTGCGACGGCCTCGTCCCACGTCTGGGAAAGCTCATGCACAGCCGGGAACAGAGGTGCCGAGGAGACAGGGGGGACCCAGCGACACCCTCCTGGCCGAGCACCTGATACCTGGTCTTTGTTTTCTCCGTCACATTTTCTTAAGCCATCGGGGTGGGGTTGACGGCCACGAGTCCCTGACTGACGGGGTCCTTTCCTGTAGGGGGGTGGTTCTGGGGTGAGCTCCTGACTCTAGGGCTAGAGGTTGGTGTCCCCTCCACCAGGGACCAATGGCTCTGAGGCCACATGCTGAGGGGGTCTCTGCTTCCTCCTCCCTCCCTTTTCTCCCCCGTCCTGGCTCAGGGGCCGCAGCCTGGGGTCGGGGCTGCTCCTGTCTCAGCACAGCCACTTGGCTTCTCCTGAGGACCCTGCTGAGCCCCTGGTGCCATCTTGGGGGTGGGGGGTGGGGTGGGTGGTCAGTGGAAACTATCCCAGGGAAATGACGTTGCCCCTTTTAAATAATGGCTGGAAATCATCTCAATAATTAAAAATGCTGAGGAAACCATGCCTCAAACACCTCACCACGGCAAGGACGCCCTGGAACAGGTCACGGCGCCAAGAAGGTCAAGGGCCCTGACCATGAAGCCATTTCACTTCATGTGAGGGAAACGGTCCCTCTGGGACGTGCCCCCAACTCCCACACGCCAGCAAACATGGATGCAAATGTTTGAAGGTCACCTTGAGGAAGTGTCCGCCTGTTGTCCCAACAGGCAGACCTCAGGGGCAGGGGACCAAGGACCTCCTGTCCCTAGCGTGGAGCTGGAGCCTGCCTCCCCACTGGGGCTCTGTAACCCCCTCTTGTCCTTCAGCCAAAGAGAAACTGTGTCTGACTTTGAACCTAGTGGAGGGCTCTGGCCATGGTGAGCGGGGAACCCCACGGCACCCGGGAGGAGGGAGCCGAAGCCAGGCCCAGGCGCTCTGAGTCACTCTGCTGGGGACCAGGCCCACAGCCCACCAGCTCCAGGGCCCCGCCCTGTGACTCAGGGAAGTGCTGCGCTCTGGGGAGAGGGGCCTCTGGCAGGTGCCCGCCGTGACACGTGCCACGGGTCAGGGCTTCCCCGCCGTCTCCGACTCTTCTCTTGGAGGCAGCATGGCCGGTTGCCACGCTCACCACTCCCCTGCAGGTAGCCGCTGGAGCACAGTAGGCTTCTTCTGACCCTTTGTCCTGAATTCACCCCCATTCACACTTCTGGGAAGGAGACTTGGAGTCCCCAGGAGAGCTGGCCAGCAGAGGTTGCCAAATAGGCTTCCTCTCTGCAGAAAGGAAAATGAAGAAGTCAACGCTCGAGCCACAGGACACCATTCCAGTCTGGAGCCACAGGACAGTGCTCCAGTCAGGAGCCACAGGACACTGCTCCAATTGGGAGCAGGAGCAGGAGGCCTGCAGCCCGCACAGCTGAAGCTAAGCCCTGATCAGAACCCAAGTGTCAGTAAAGAGGAGCAACRGGGAGAGAGGGGCTTCCCATCCACCTGGACCCGCCCTGGGCCGTCCCCCTGGGCCACTGCACCACCCAGGGAAGTGCAGGCAGAGGGCAGCTGGTCCAGGGCTGGAGAAGCAGCAGCCKGCCAGGAAGTGACAACAGTGAGGAGCCCCTTATAGGACCTGGGATGTGGGGCCTGTCTTCTTGTAACTGGAAGGAGTGTCCGACACTGAACCCTTAATCACACCCACCCTGAAGTACGGCAGGTCTCAAGGGCGTGTTCATCACTCACCACTAAAACTCTAAGCCATGACGCAACTTGCCATTCGCCCTCCCTCAACCCCAGGCTCCACCATTATCCTCTTTGCTTCTATGAATTGATTACTTTCACTTCCTCACACATAGGATCCTGTAATAGTTTTCCTTCTGAGACTGGCTTACTCTACCCTGCATGCTGTCCCCAGGGCTCATCCACCTGGCAGCACACAACGGGATTTCCTCCCTTTGAAGGCTGAGTAATATCCCCTTGTATGAACAGACCACAGTTTCTTTATCCACTCATTCTTCCATTGATGGACATCAAGGTTGTTCCCCCACCTCGGCTATTATGGGTGATTCTGCAATGAACATGGGAGTGTAAAGACCACTTGGAGATTCTGTTTTCAATTCTTTGAAATATATACTCAGAAGTGGTATTGCTGGATCATACAGTAGTTCTATTTTTTATTTTTAAACAATTTCTGTAGGGCTGGAGATGTGGCTCAGCGGTAGCGCGCTCGCCTGGCATGCGTGCGGCCCGGGTTCGATCCTCAGCACCACATACCAAGAAAGATGTTGTGTCCACCGAGAACTAAAAAAAAATAAATAAATATTAAAAAAAAAAAAAAAACAATTTCTGTAGAATGAAACAGACATTATTACTGTATGTATGTATGTGGCTGTGTGACCAATGGGATTCTACAATATGTATACTCAGAAAAATAAGAAATTATATCCCATTATGTATGGTACATCAAAGTTTATAAGTGCATTCAACTGTCATGTTTAACTAATTAAAACAAATAAAAAAATAAAAAATAAGAAATACAAAAGTAAAACCAATTTCTGTACTCTTTTCCATACTGATGGCACCACTTTACATTCCCATCAATAGGACATAGGGGCTAACATGTCCCTACATCTTCATGAGAATTTTCTGCTGTTTTCCATAACAGGTGTGAGGGACAGCTCACTGTGGTTTTAAAATTGGAGATGTTGACGTGTACTTACCGGCCATTTGCACAACAAATGTCTGTTCGAGTCCTGACCCATTTCTGAACCAGGCTGCTGGGCCTGGGGCTGTGGCTCCGTGGCTGAGGACTCGCCTCACTCATGCGAGTCACTGGCTTCAATCCTCAGCCACATAAAAATAAATAAATATTGGGCTGTTCAGTTTTTTTCTTGTTGAGTTTTAAGAGATCTCTGAATATTCTAGAAATAATCCCTTACCAGATACGTGATTTGCAAAGACTTCCTTGCGTTCTGTAGGCTGCCTTTTTAGTCTTTGATGGTGTCTTTGAATGCACAGATACTTCAAAATGTCACAAGTCGCCGTTTGTCTGTTTCAGCTTTTTGCACATGTCACGTTCAAGAAATCCTTGCTGAATTCCGTGCCGTAAGCATTTGCCTCATCTGTTTTCTTCTAGGAGTTTCATGGTTTTAAGCCTTAATGCGTTGAGGTCATTTTTGTATAAGGTGTCAGATAAGCAGAGAAGGCTCCCACTTCCTTCTTCCATCCTAGATTCCCAGTTCTCCAGATATCATTTTTGATTATTTCCCTTTGCCCACGGGGAGGTGATCTCTCGTCTGCCATCTCACTGAGGAGGCAGAAGGAGCCTTCCGCCTGAGCCCACTGTTCCTGCAAGCCCCCTGGGCACTCGGCTCAGGGCGGCCGCCCCTTCCTCTCTTTGGGCTTTGAGGGGGTTTGCTTGGCCCCTGGGGCCGTCCCGGGAGTTGCCTGGTGCAGGTTCCTTCCTGCTCTCTGCCTGTTGCCTCGCTGTCGTCAGCATCCTACGCTGGCTCTCCTCGGGTCCCAGGGAGTCCCCGGCACACAGCCATGGCACCTAGACGCAGAGCTTCCAAGGAAGAAAACCAGAACCCCTCCTTGTGGAACATTCCCATTGGCCAGATCAGACTCACGCCTCCACCCTCAGACCAATCAGTGACTGGGACCATCCTCTCCCGACTCACACCCAGACAAGATGGCGGCCCCATGTGGGCCTGGAAGTTGGGTAGAAAGTGGCCATAAACAACCGCTCCAGGTGGCTCTAAAGGCCCTGCCCCTCTGTTGTCTGCCTCCCCTTGGTCTCCCTGGATTCTGTGCCTTGATCTGGGTGAACACACCCCTCTCCTTGTTCTCAGCCCCATCTCTCAAGGCCCAGGGTCCTCTGTGGGCTGCAGCCTTGGGAACTTGATGCTTTCCTCCTCTCCTCGGCCACTCAGCTCAGTCTCCTCCAAGGCAATGTCACCTTGTTGGTGACACAAGGCTCTGTGAGGGCACCAGGTCCCCACAGCTGAAGTCTGGCGGAGGTCATCATCTCCTCCCGGGTCCTTGGGGCAAACCCAGGAGACTGGTCCTGGCCATCAATATCAGGACTTCATTCCACTGCCGACTTCTCTTCAAGTCTCTTCTTCAGGGAACGGCTGTCCCTCAAATGCTAGTGGGCCTTAACCCAGCTCTTCTCCCTGACCCCAGAAAGGCATCCTCGGGCAGCATCAGCCAAAGACAGGCATTGCCAGCCTGAGACCAGGAAGTGGAGGAAATCCTGCCAGGCAGAGCTCAGAGTCCCCATCCAGAGGTCCCCTGTATGTGGCTGTGGAAGCCTTGGACAGAGCTGCCTGGCTGGGCCCTTGTCCCAGACACCCCCTGTCATGCTCTGGTGATGAGCTGTTCATCCAGAGTGACCAGAGATGGCATAGGAGGTCACTCATCATCTGACTTCCAAAGAGGAACATTCCAATGTGTCTTGGGGCCTCTCATTTGGTGATATGTCCCCGTCGTGGGTCCTTGGTCCACGACTATCTGCCACCACATCAACCAGGTCTACAAAGCCCCAAAGCATCATTTTTCCAGGAGAGTAGAGAATCCACAGCCTCTTTCCATCCAGGAGCACAGATGTCACCCATGTCCCACCATAGGACATCAATGTCCCAAACGTAAGAGAACACCAATTCAACAGTCCCGCAGAGCAAGGGTG